GATCAGTATGAAAAGGAAATTTACAAAGTATTTGCATTTATATTAGCATGCAAAAAATTTTAAAAATTAGAAGTAAATCTATCCAAGGATGTCAAAAACTATAAACCATGAAGCCTATGAGATGAGCTGTATAGCCAGGGTGATGTTTTTCTGATTTCTTTCTTCGCCCATTTATCATCTATATATAGGAGGACTACTGATTTTTTTGAGTTAATCTTGTATCCTGCCACTTCAATAAAGGTGTTTATCAGGAGTTCCCTGGTCAAATTTTTTGGGTCACTTATCATATCATCTGCAAATAGTCAAAGTTTGACTTCTTCCTTTCCAATTTGTATATCCTTGATCTCCTTTTGTTGTCTTATTGCTCTAGTTAGAACTTCAACTACAATATTGAAGAGATGTGGAGAGAGTGGGCAGCCTTGGAATGTGCACTACTTTTAGAGGTCATAAGTTCAGTTCCCAGCATCCTGATGTGTATTCACAATTACTTATAAATCCAGCTCCAGAGAGCTAGCATTCTCTACTCCAGTCACCTGTATTGCTATGTGCACATGGGTGTCAATGGACACATTCAATTAAATGAAAATATATAGTTAAGGAAAAAAGCAGATTGATTTTGGAATGTGTGAAAAAGCTAAATGGATATTTCTCTAGAGAGTTAAGGCATACAACTGGCAACTCAGCACATGAAAAAGAATTGTAACATAGTGTTTGGCTAGACAAAAACTAAAAAGAAACCTTTAACAGGATACTAGTAGGTAAAGTGAATAGAATTGTGTACCCCCAGAATCCATATATGGAAGCCCTAATCTCTCATGTAAGTGTGTGATAGAGACTATAATGAAGCAATAAATGAGGCCCTGAGGGTAGAACCCTGTTCTAAAATGCATGTGTCCATTTAAGGAGGTTTATAAGAAGATGCAGACACTAGACATATTTCTTTGTCCTGAACAGAAGACAGGACATAGCAAGAAGGTGGTCACATACAAGTCAAGGGAAGTTTCACTAGACATCAGCTGTGTTTTGGGGGACAGGAGATGCTGAGAATCAAGCCTCAGGGCCTTGTGCATGCTGGGCAATTGCTGTACAACTGAGTTCTCTTCCCACCATTGGTTCTGAAATAAGGACTCATGATGGAGCCCAGGGCAGTCTGGAACATGCTCTGTGGAACATGCTGGCCTCAACAGGTGACCTGTTTGCCCTCTGCCTCCTTCGTCCTAAGATTACAGGTGTATGCCACCACTCGGAGTGTCCTAGTTTGCTTCTCTGTTGTGATAAAATATTGGCCAAGATCAACTTGGTAGAGGGAGGATTTATTTAATCTTACAACTCCCAGGTCACAGTCCATTACTTAGTGACATCAGGACAGCATTTCAAGGCAGGAACTGAAACAGAGACCAAGAAGGATTGCTGCTTACTGGCTTGCTTTCAAATACCCCAGGGGCTAGGGACTCCTACATCGATTGTTAATGAAAAAATGTCCCCACAAAGTTACTTGTAGGCACTGATGGAGGGGATTCTTCAGTTGAGGTTCCTCCTTTCCAGGCTACTCCAGTTTGTGACAGATTGACTGAAAAAAACCACAAGACCTTTTCTACTTGCCGTAGACAAATTGAAATCTTCTTGTATTGCTAGTGGAATTTAACATGCTGAAACCCCTGTTGAAGAGTTCTGCCTTTTCACAAAATGTCCAGATGTAGAATTATTGTACGGCCTAGCCATACTACTCCTAGATGTCTACCCAGAGGTATTCTGTATGTATATATGTACTGACTGGTTTTGTGTGTCAACTCACACAAGCTGAAGTCATCAGAGGAAGAAGCCTCAGGTGAAGAAATGCCTTGATGAGATCCAACTGTAAGGCATTTTTTCATTTAGTGGTCAATGGAGGTGGTGCTGTCCCTGGACTGTTGGTCCTGGATTCTAAAAGAAGGTAGATTGAGCAAGCCATAAGGAGAAAGCCATTAAGCAGCTTCCCTCCATGTCCTCTGCATCAGCTCCTGCCTCCGGGATCCTGCCCCGTTTGAGTTCCTGTCCTGACTTCCTTCAGTGATGAACAGCAATTCTGAAGCCTAATTAATAAACCCTTTCCTCCCCAACTTGCTTTTTGGTCATTGTGTTCCATCACAGTAATAGAAACCCTGAGAGAGTGTGCATGCCCACATGTATTTGGGTATACATGTGTACATGTTTGTGTGTCATGCAGGTGTTCTATTCATGTCAAGGTCAAGACAACTTTAGCTGTTCCTTAGGCACTGTCTACCTTTTTTTGAGACACTTTCTGACTAGCCTTGAACTTGCCTAGAACACCAGGCTGATTCCTTTGTGAGCCCCAGAGATATACCTTTATCCATTTCTCCCAACATATGCTACCACTTGATTTTTTTATGTGGGTTCTGGGTATTGAATTCAGGCTCTCATGCTTCTCAGCAAGCACTTTGCCAAGAGCTTTCTATTCAGCCCTATATGGAAGTCATAAAGACATTTGTAGACCCATGTTGATAGTAGCAATATTTGTTACCAAAAGTTAGAAACTCACATGCCCATCACTATGACTAAACAGTAGAATACAGATGTTATTCAGTGTAAAAAGAATGAATTTCTTTATATTACTTGGACTAAACCCAACACCTTGGATTTGCTAGACAAGCCCTCATTTGCTGGTTCACACTCCTGGACCCTGAAATTTGATTCTTGATACAAGGATGGACTTTGAAAACAAAGTGACAAGTGCTTAGTGAGATTATCTGCATACAGAGGGATAAATAGTGTCATTATACTGGCGTAAAGTAGGTAAAACAGGTTCAGAGATAGAAGTAGAATGGAGGTTATGTTGTGGGTAGGAGGCAGAGTAGAAGTTCCTGGTTAATAGTACAGTGTTGGACATTCTAAGAGTCTGGGGTGTGGATGGTGCTGGTGACTGCATCCCATTGTATATGCAATGCCAATGAGTTATACCATTATACATAGTGTTTAACATGGTAATTTACATTACACATACTTTAACATAAGCACATAAAATGGCCATCATTTTATCAGAAAAGTCTTTAGGTATCAGTGGGAAAATTTTTGTTGTTGTTATTGTTGTTCATTTTTTCAAGACAGGATTTCTCTGTGAAACAGCTCTGTCTGTCCTGGAACTCACTCTGTAGACCAGGCTGGCCTTGAACTCAGAGATCCGCCTGCCTCTGCTTTCTGAGTGCTGGGACTAAAGGTGTGCGCCATCAATGCCTGGCTGAGTAAATAGTTTTTTAAAAACAGTACTCCATGTGAAAGCCACTGTTTTACCTCGCAGCTCAGTCACATGAGTGCTTCAGCACAAGACATCTGCTCTTTAGTAGACCACGAAAGCCTTGTTTGTCACATATCTTTAGATTGTGGTAAACACACACACAGAGAATAAAAACCCAGCAACGTTACTGTCTTAACTGTGCATGTGTAGGTATGTGCCCCCATGCATGCAAGTGTAAAGGGCAGAGGTCAATATTGATTGTCTTCTTGTCACACCCCACCTTTCCTGTTTTGAGATGTCTTACACTGAACCTGAAACTCTCCATTTGGCCACATTTGCCTGGCTTCACAAAGACCAAGAGCTGGGGTTGTAGATTGTGTGCTCCACTTCCTAAGCCATGTCTCCAGCTCCATCCTGCTGTAGGTATGCAGTTGGTGAAGGTTTTCAGGACATTTCCACCATGCAAATCTGAAGCTTCCATGGTTTTGTCACACAGAATACATGAGCACTCTGTAGCTGTGATGTCATAGAGTTAATTTTTCCCCTTTATCCAGAAGTGAAGCTACTTTTTTTTCTCACTGCAAGCACGAAGTAGAGAAGAATATAGTCATTAATAAACTTTGACCACAGCCCTAGCTTATGTCAACACACCATTACTTTATCCTGTTAGGATGGACTCCAACACACTAGAAAGAGACAACAATGTCTTAGTGTCATATGGAGATGGTTTGGGTTTGCTGGCTTTGGGGGGGTTTTCTGTACCCTCCAGGGTCAGCCTGCGCTTTGAGAACCGTTCATGTGGATCACTGTCCTAGGAGGATCTTGGTGTCAAGGTGGAGGGATAGATAGTAAATCCGAGGGGAAGAAGAAAGCCTAGACTTGAATAAGGAGTTCCTATGAAAGACAGACCAAGGTGGCACGTGCAGGTGTGACTTTAAGAAGGTGAGATTGGTGGGCGTTGGTGGCGCACGCCTTTGATCGCAGCTCTCGGGAGGCAGAGGCAGGCGGATCTCTGTGAGTTCGAGGCCAGCCTGGTCTACAAAGTGAGTTCCAGGACAGCCTACAAAACAATATAGAGAAACCCTGTCTGGAGAAAAAAAAGAAGGTGAGATTGCTAGTTTCACCCTGCCAGATTTTCTCTCTCATTTCCATTATTCATTTTAATCTAGTTGAGGTTTTTCTCTAGTACTGTAATGTTAACAACAACAACAAATCTCAAATAAATAAACAATCTGGGAGAGAAAATGAGCTGTTCAGTTTTCTCTTTAGAGTTTTAATGCATTTGTGGCATTGTTCTGAGTGCTATATTGGACCAGGATAGCATCCCTCCTGTCTATGTGTGCATTGGTAGTTAAGGATGTCTTTACATGGCTGAGGCAGTCAGTAATGAAGAAATAAGCACACATTGCTTTATGATTTGGGAGTTTTCTTCTTTTCACATGTGTGTGCATGTGCACAGGTATACATATATACATACACACACATGTGTGGGTGTGTACACAGGCACATGGAGGATGGAAGTTGACATCAGGAATATTCCTCAGTTACTCTCTACCTTGCTCATTGAGGCTGCCTCTTTTAGTAAACCCGGAATCCCTGATATGGCTGATATCGCTAGGCCGCTGTTCCAGGGATCTCCTGTCTCCACCTTCTGAATCTGGAAGTTAAGGCAGCTTCCATGTCTACCCAGCCACACTAGTTCTGGTGCTGAGAGCCCAGTCCTCTTGTTTCGAGTAAACTTCTGATACTTTTTCCTCTTCTCAAACAGCAGTTCAAATGCTTCACCTTCGGAAGGTGCACCACCCACAGGAACCTGCAGCTGCACTCCTCACTCATTCCCAAAGTTCCAGCATCCTTCTCATGAGCTGCTGAAGGAAAACGGATTCACCCATCAAGTGTACCACAAGTATCGTCGAAGGTGTTTAAGTGGTAAGATGCCTGTCCTTTACCTAGCTGCGTTGGCATCAGAGGAACTCAGTCTAAGTGGCAAGGTGGCTGCCCTTGTCTAGCTTCATTGACGTTACAGGAGATTCTAAAGCTTGAACTGTCACCTGATATCTTGCTAAGATAGCCTTCTAGTTAATTTATATGTTCCTGTGTTTTTTACAGCTTAAACACGTTAGTAAATGAAGTTAGTACATTCTTCTTGCTACTGTTGACAAGCACTTATAACTTGAACAGTGTGTCCTAGATCTACTGTTGGTCCTCTATTTAGGAGAATCTCAATTACTGTTTCAGGGTTGTTTTGTTTTGTTTCATTTTGAGGTATTATTTCTTTCCAGAGAGAAAACGCTTGGGAATTGGACAGTCACAGGAAATGAACACCCTCTTTCGTTTCTGGTCCTTCTTCCTCAGAGACCACTTCAATAGGAAAATGTATGAGGAATTTAGACAACTTGCTTGGGAAGATGCAAAAGAGAATTACAGGTCAAACGTTTCCTAATGGTTTTTCTAATATTCTTTTAAGAAACACAATTTCAGGTAGTCTGATTTTGAAATAACCATAGCATAACTGCAATGAGGGTTATATTTGCAATATAGTAAGCAACCCCTAAACTCAAGAGTAAAATGAACATTTGTTAACTCCTAAGGGCAAGACTATAGGACCCAACTAGCCAGGTAGCTCCAACCCAAGGTCCCTCATAGGATTTCATTCAGGAAATTTCCAGGGCTGGCATCTCTGCAGGATCTTCTTGGGATCCTTCCCTTGGCTGCTGGCCAGGGTATCACTTCCTAGCCACAGCTGCCTTACATAGCATGTTTTTCAGCGTTAGCTATTCACAGAGCAGACTCAGAAGGAAGGGCAGCTTCCAAGGCAGAACCCTCAGTACATGTCCCAGGTTCTCTAGGGAGTTATAAGAAGAAACATGGAAAATGCTTTTCTGATTTGTAAAGTGAGTTTATAGTCCTTTTGTCAATAGATCTGCTGTGAGTATATTTTAGAACTATCAAGAGCCATTTAATATAGTCGAAGTTGAAGAGATAAAAATGTGGACTTTTCTGGATAAAAGATTATATTCAACAAACAAATACATCATTTAAACTTTGCTTTGAGAAAAATCTAAAAGGTTTTCAATCAATGTCACTGAATCTTTTGACCACTTCTTGGGAAATAACACTGTCCTGTATTGATCAGCATGTCAGTTAAAAATCTGCACTATCCAAGAATTTATGAAGCTGAGACAGAAGGCTGGCAAGTTCAGGGCCAACTAAAACTACATTGTGAGTTCTAGTACAGAGTGAGCACAGTCTCAGAAAACAAAAACAAGAAATGCTACTGAACTTATCTCTCATTACGGTTTGTGCCATGTCTGCCTGTATGAGATATCACTATGAGGTGCTTGCATGATTCCAGCAAAGCCACAACTTTATACCTTTTTCTTCCTTCCCATAGGTATGGGTTAGAATGTCTTTTCAGGTTCTATAGTTACGGACTGGAAAAAAAATTCAGACAGGAAATTTTTAAGGATTTTCAAGAAGAAACCAAAAAAGACTACGAATCTGGTAAAAACAAACACTGTCTTTGTAAATTATAGTCTTGAACTGTCAATAAATAGAAAGGAAGGCTGACAAGATGACTCAGTAGGTAAAGGCACTTGTTGCCAAATCTGTAGCCCTATAGTGAAAGGAAAGAATATACTCTAAAAAGCATCTTGGCCTGTACCTACTGTGTGTGTGTGTGTGTGTGTGTGTGTGTGTGTGTGTGTGTGTGTGTGTGTATGTCTGTGTCTGTGTGTGTGTACATGAGTGTGCTCATACACACACACACACACAAATGCTGTTTTAGAAAAGAAGAAAAGAATTTGTAGACTTTTATCTTCAGGACAAATCATTTGAGATCCTGCCCACTATTACTAATTCTTCATGCAGGTGGGACACCATGTAGTAGTGAGAAGGCTCCTCCTGTGAAGCTATTTGTTTGGCTTGTTGGTTTTGGTTTTTTGAGGCAGGGTTTCTCTGTGTAGTTCTGGCTGTTATGGAACTTGCTCTGAAGACCAGGTGGGCTTCAAACTCACAGAAATATGCCTGCCTCTGCCTCTCCAGTGCTGGTACTAAAAGTGTGCACCACACCTGATCTCTGAGGTGCTTTTACCTTATGGAGGTGTATGTCAACATTAACTTCTTGGTAAACATGGCTACTCCCTGGTGTTCCTTCTCATGAGCATAATTAGGTGTGCTTGGCAAGGCAAATGTGAGACGCGGGCTCTGGTCCAGACACCTAGGACTGAGACCCTTTCCCTTGCTTAGTACCGTGAGACTTGCACTCCCTCCACCTTGCCGGCTCCCGTGTTCGCACCTGTAAGGCAGACAAGAGGAACCATCTCACCAGGCTGCTTACGTCTGGTCATTTGGTCTGTGATCAAAAACTTCATTAGTGCCTGTTACAGAACAAATGGCCAGTGAATATTAGCTGCCACCATTGCTAATTTACTGTGCCATATGGGGCTGTAAGTGGTGGGATCATATGCACGATAGATTTGTTAGTTCCCTGTAACATATATTCTTTGTTTTTCAGGCCAGCTATATGGACTGGAAAAATTCTGGGCCTATTTGAAATATTCTCAATGTAAGACACAGTCTGTGGACCCAAAACTTCAGGAGTACCTCTGTAGTTTTAAGAAGTTAGAAGACTTCCGTGTTGATGTAAGCTTTAATTTCTGTCTCTTATTGTTTTAATCACCTGTATAACTTGATAACAAATTTTTATAATGTTAATCTTAAACTTTTTGGTTTTTAATTTTGAAATTTTAACTTTTTGTTTTGACATCAATCTTTGAAAGCAGGTTCAAAAATAGATAAGAAAATTACCATTATTTTCTTCATTTAGATTTCCCAAAAGTTGGGGCCTGGGGGGGATGGCTCAGTTAGTAAAGTACTTGCTAAAGCCGCAGCAGATGTCCCAGCATCCATGGGAAAGCTGAGCACAGTGGAGTGGGCATCTGTAACCCTGAACTGGGGAGACAGGGGGGAGCAGTGGCCAGCCAGCCTATCCAAAGTCATTAGTCCCAGGGTTAGTGAGAGACCCTGTCTCCAAAGACAGTGTGAAGAGTGACAGAGGAAGATGTCTAACACCAACATCAACTTCTGGTCTCCACATACAGGTGCATACACACATACACATACATACATACACACACACACACACACACACACACACACACACACACACACAGGATTTCCCAAATGTGAACATCTTACATAATGGTACAGTTGTCAGTGCATTTGAATTTGGATACACAACCATACTTACATGGTTTCTAGACTGAAGAGATACCACTGGTTTTTCTGATGTGAAACCTTTTCACTAAATTTTGTCTGTTTTAGCTTTGGATTGTTTTCCATGCTAAGGATTGAACCAAGGGCCTTGTATATGCTGAGCAAGTGTTCATCACTAAGCTCTATCCTCACCCAAACCTTTTACTTTTTTGTCAAAGATTACTTTATTTGTGTATGTGTGTATGTGGGTATGGAGACAACCCACAGAATCTTTGGATTCCCTGGAGCTGGAGTTACTAGAGCATGTGAGCCACCTGATGTGGGTGCTGGGAGTCAAGCCTGCTCCTCTGCCAGGAAGCCTGTCTGCCAGGACAGCCCGTGCTCTTAACTGCTCTCTCTAGCCCCAACTGTCTACTCTCTTTAGAATTGATTTTTTAAAAGATTTATTTATTATATATACAGTGTACTGTCTGCATGTATGCCTCCAGGCCAGAAGAGGGCACCATATCTCATTACAGATGGTTGTGAGCCATCATGTGGTTGCCGGGAATTGTACTCAGGACCTCTGGAAGAACAGCCAGTGCTTTTAACCTTTGAGCCATCTCTCTAGCCCCCAACTTTATACTTTTTAAATGTGCTTTTATCCATATAATTTTATAGCATGTGCTAATATGCATTTAGAGTTTCTTCATCATAAAAAATTAGTATAAGGACTAGTGTGTGTGTAACTCTGGAATGCGTAGATCCCTGGCAAATAAATGCAAGACTGTTAATTGGTAGGTACTTTAGTCATTTTGATTTCAAGTGGAAAAGAAAAAGGTTAAACCAAGAAAATAACTGCAAAGGAGGAAATGGCAGGGGTGGGGCTGAAAAGTGGAAAAGACGCCATTGCTGGCTCAGTGTAAGCCATGGATGGAGACCTCAGGTCTAAGTACAACAGAGGGAGGTGAAGATAACTGGGTTGTTTGGTTGGTTTGTGTGTGTGTGTGTGTGTGTGTGTGTGTGTGTGTGTGTGTTTCTGTTTTTTTGAGACAGGGTTTCTCTGTGTAGCTTTGGAGCCTGTCCTGGAACTAGCTCTGTAGACCAGGCTAGCTTTGAACTCACAGAGATCCACCTGCCTCTGCCTCTGCCTCCTGAGTGCTGAAGGTGACTGTTTTAATTTGTTTTTCAGATTAAAAAATATGAGTCTAATGATGTACATACAGTTGGATCTATAACTATATAACTGAAAAAAAAAGACCTGAAAGCACTTGTTTTAAGTGCAGAGTACTCTCCTGCTTCCTGCTTGCAGTCTAAATGGGTTTGAAGGTGTTTAAATTTAGTATCCTCAATAATGCTATCTAGTTCCTCTAGCATGGGAACCCTTCTTCCCTTTCTGGTTCCATTCAGCTGTTAAACATTAGACATTGGGGAGACCCAGAATAGGAGCTCAGAGGTAATGAAGGGACTACAATTGCAACACATCTAAGTGTTTTGTTGGAGGGAGGGAACCCCTCTGTGCTTATTCCTTAAACATGAGAGGAGTTTCTCCAGTTCTTGTGGCTGAACAAGCTAATCCCAGTCTGCCAAGGAAATGTGATTTTAATCCCATGAATTGTTGTAAGAATTCATTATACTGCTAAAGTCTACAAAGCACCAATATGAATCCCCTGGTTGGAAAGTCAGGCTTTAGACTCTGAGAGTAGTGAAAAGTGTCTACTGTGCTGTCTTTTCATGCTTTGCAGCCCCCTATTAGTGAGGAATTTGGAAGAAAAAGACATTCATCTACTTATGGGGAGGAGAGTAATCACCATCGACTTCCATCTCGCTCCTCCACGCCACCATCAAGTGCTGCTCAGCCTGCATGTACCAGTGAACCACAGGAGAAGTCCTCAGGCACCCAGTGACAACTCACACCATGACAGTGCTGCCTCAGTCTTCATGGGTGAAGTACCAAGGAACTAGATGCTTACACAAAAGTCGTGTGTCCTTGAAATCAACAGTAGCATCTTCTGATGTTTAATTGTGATAATCAGAAAACAAAAAGGAAGAAAAATGGTTGTCTATTTTTCTAGCAAGATAAATTCCATACATTTACCCCATTCCCACAAACAAGGTCTGGTTGATGTTAGGAGATCCTGTAGGAATGCACTTTGGCCTCAGATTTTCTTGAAGGCCATTGTTTGCAAGAACAAAATTCCATTAAAACATTTAAACACACTCACAAGGAATATCTGACATTTCAGCTCATCCTTCTTACAGAAGATGCAGTATGCTGTATTCATCTCTTCTGTAGAACTCTTAAAGAGTCAGACAAATCACCCCACTGTCAGCCTATATCTGAACATATCAAAATCAAGGAAGGATTATGTACATAAGTGGGTTTTTGTTTGTTTGTTTTTGTTTTTCGAGACAGGCTTTTGGAGCCTGTCCTGGAGCTCACTCTTGTAGACCAGGCTGGTCTCGAACTTACAGAGATCCACCTGTGTCTGCCTCTCGAGTGCTGGGATTAAAGGTGTGCGCCACCAACGCCCGGCTGTATATAGGTTTTAAGTTCAGAAATGGATATGAAAGATATTTTTTCTTATATATACATAGTTTGAAGGAATTTCTTTCTTTTTTTTTTTAAACAAAACCATGCACAGCAGACTAGTTGTGAGGCCTGTAAGCTTGGGCTGTTGCTGATTTCACAGTACTGTGTTGATGTGGAGCTTTCTGAATTGTCATAAGCTGGGTATATAGATTCAGAGAGACTGACTTGTGATTCTACAATACTTGCACATGTAATTGAAAACAGTTGGGATCTGTTGGAAGTGTAAATAAATTAATTTGTTCTGAATGTGTCTGCTGTTTATATCTGTAAGTGGGTGTCTCACAGCAGTTACATAACTAGTCACCTAAGAGAAGCATTTAGTTTTTTTCTTTTTGTGTTATGCTCATAATGGTTTTCAGGAGTTGAAACAAATTTCTAATTCTTAGTGCTATTGAGACTGATGTAAATAATAGTTTTATTTTGTGAACTTAAAAAAAATAAATTATTTTGAATTATTTGAATTCACTTAAGTTTTATTTATGCTATATTTACAAAGCTGTAGTATTTGAATTCTACTAGCATCAATTTTTGTTATGTTTTATTAATGAAGTTCCAGTTGCAAAGTTCTTAGGCCATTTGTACTAAGCATAATATGATTCACAAGTATTTCATTGCACTGGCAGAAACAGCTAGTTTCAATGCACTACAGTTACTATTTTCTTTTTGAGCAGACTGGATATCTTACCGTGTTCTCATATGTTACATATTAAAATGCTTCTGGCATGTGACTAGTGGTAGAGAACCTACCAAGCATTTACAGGGACCTGAATTCAATCCTCGCCATTGGGGGGAAATCCACCATACACAGGAATGGTCATGTAGTGGGTAAAATGCTGGCATAGCACTGTGAGGCCTAGACTGCGTCCCTAGCAGAATAAAGGAAATGAGAGAAGGATGGGAGAGAAACAAAGAAGAAAGGAAGGGAAAAAAGAGACAGAAATAATACCATCTTTTGAGAAAGGGCTGTTGATTCATAACTACCTTTTAATTAGGTTCATACGTAAATAATAGCATGCAATTTGTTGATTTTGAAGTTTCAACTTTAGAAAGCAGCTTTCTGTGTTCACAGCATTGTTACTCACCTATGCTATAGGGAGGGCACAAAACCAGTCACGCTCTCATAGATTTAAGAGGGTTCTGTTCCTGGTCTTCAGGGGGGTGGTTTCTGAGCCAGTAAGTTTTGTTCAGGAAATGAGATATTATCTATGAAAGTGTGGTCAGTCTATAATGCATATTTTATGATATTATTCTATGTAAACATATACTTTGAGAAATTCAGAAAAGCTCAAAAAAGAAACACTCTTTTCTTTGTTAAATAAAAAAAATTTTATGTTATACATATGGAACGGTAACCTGCTGGTTTTTACTCAGAGTGGTTTAATGATATTCCTTTTTTTTTTTTTTTGGGTGTTTTGAGACAGGGTTTCTCTGTGGCTTTGGAGGCTGTACTGGAACTAGCTCTTGTAGATGAGGCTGGCCTCGAACTCACAGAGATCCGCCTGCCTCTGCCTCCCAAGTGCTGGGATTAAAGGCGTGCACCACCACCACCCGGCTGATATTCCTATTTTTGTATAGTAGCCTTTACTAGTTACACGATGTCCCAGTATATTGTATGCACATTCTATTTAACTATTTGTCAATTGTTGAACTCATCTGTGGCCAGGGTTTGGCTTTTATAGACAACCAGTTAATTTATAATACCCTTACATACCTATCCATGTGTGTAAGTTTGGAGTTATTGCCTAGAATAAATCTCCAGAGGTTTACATTCAAAGTCAAAATACTCCTACTTGGTGCCCTATAGTGAGGCTGGCCAGTATGTGCTTCCTTCTGTCTTTGTACGCACCACTTACAAATTTTTCTCCCTATTAAACTGAGAAAAGTGGATTGTTTTAATCTTGTCATTTCGTCATATTTTACACTTTTTGGGGAAATGTGCCTCAGTAAGTATGTGGAGGTCAGAGGACAATTTGCAGAAGTCTGAGTGATAAGTTGCTTTGCCTGTGAATTATATTATTTGTAGATTGCTTGATTGTGTTCTTTTCTTTTTCTTAGGAGAATGGTTATCTTGGATTAATTAATCTGACATCTTACTTACCAAGAATGTTAACCCTCTGCTGTCAGGTTTTACATTTGAGTACAGTTTTTGATTAAAGTTAAAATTATGTCCCTTTAATTCTAAATGTAAAGCTCCACAAAATAAAGGCATGAGTGCTTGAGGAAAATAAAATACTATAAGCTGACTATAAATCTAAGTGATCAGATCCACAATCCAGGTCCCTGGAGATCCTATCCTTTTCTTCCCTGGGACAAGGATGAGGCCCACACCTGTCAACCCAGCAAGTCGTGTAGTTAAAGATGACCTTGAACTCCTGATATTCTACCTCCCAAGTACTGGCTGATCACTGGGCCCACCGTGTCTGGTATAGACTTTATTCTGATGTCTCTGAACTTGTTTGGACAGCTAGAATTCCAGCCTGGCATTTTCTTAGCATCTTGTTTTATGCTGTGGTGTTTCCATGTCCTTTATGTGCTCAGTCTTTTCCTCCAACTAATTCCTTATGTCTATGCTTGCACGGGAGACAGATCCAATAGAATAATGCCCAATTGTGTAACCACTAGATGGCAGAATAGAATAAGTCAGAGCTGTAGGCTTAAGCCATGGAAGTAAGTGTGTGTGTGTGTGTGTGTGTGTGTGTGTGTGTGTGTGTGTGTGTGTGTGTGGTTGAACTCTTACTTCATCTTATGGTGATATAGAATTATCAATGACATGAATTCCTAATATTCACTCATATTTCCCTCTATTAGTGAATTATTCTGAGCTATTTCATGATTGGTAAACATTAAATTTTTGCTTTGCTATTTTGTCCTTCCACTTAAAAGTTTATGATTAACTCTCTTGGAATGGAAACAAAGCAAGAAGATTATCAGATACATGCGTTTAAAAGTCTGGCCAACATTATGTAGTGAAATCATTGGTAAGTAGGTCCTCCCTGGAACATGAGGAAGCTAACAGGGAGATGGCCGGGCTAATTGTGGGGCTCTGAAGCACCCACTATGGCTATAGCTTGATGACCCTTCAACAGTGTGAACCTAGGGTGTGTTGTGTCGCAGCTGGAGGTCAAGATTAGGTAAGACTATTTTTTGTGTGTTTGGTATCTTTTGGCAGAGATTTGTCTGGTGTTTAGATAAGTCCTCTCAGGAGGAATATGATTAAAAAAGAATAGAATTCCCATTTTCCCAGAAGTAGAGAAGGTAAAATATAAACCAAATTGACCATTTTTATTCCATTGTTGTTGGCAACTGAGGATTCCAGGCTACTCAGAAGTAGTATTTTCTGGTCTTAGGTGTGAAGGCTCCAAGGTTAATACGAGCCATCTAAAGCTGCAGTGCTTGAGAGTAGGAGCTACCCTTAGAGATGAGCAGCTCCAGGTGTCCAACACCTTCTTCTGCCTTCTCTGCACAGTGCACAGTAATGAGAATAAAATGCGGCCCTAAAAGAATCATCCGTAGCTTTTTACTGTTTGCCAGTTTGACTTTTTACTGATTTAAAAGAAATATATGGTGCCAAGGATTGAGCCAGGGCCTCTTCCTAGGCAAATATCCCACCTCTAGACACATCCCCCTCCCTGCCTCCAATGATGCTATCTTTTCTGTCCAGTGAAGAAAGGTTTCCTAATAGAATGCTAACAACACGTATTATTGCAGGAAAATCTAAGCCAGAATGTGCTATTGCTTTTTTTATTTTTTTCCAGGTGATTGAGTTTACAAACTATGTTTTTCAGGGTGGGTGTTTTGTTTTTTTTTTTGAGACAGACCTAATTACATAGTATAAGATGGGCTTTAATTTAACCAATTTCTGCCTTGACATAGCCCCCCCCACATACACACTCAGGTTCAGGAGTATCACAATTCCCACAGTGTTTTAAGAGGTGTTGATTTTTATTATAACATAGATATCTCAGTCCTGTAATATTTAATATCCCATGTAAACAGCTGCTGAGACCGAGCACTTTCCTCTAGTTACTAATGCACCCTTCAATCAGTGGTTTTCAACCTTCCTAATACTGCAGCCATGTAATGCAGTTCTTCCTGTCAGTGACTCCTACCCATAAAACACTTCATTGCTACTGTTATGAATGAATCATAGTGTAAATATGGTATTCGGGGATCTGCTATATGATCCAAGGGGTCATGACCCCTAGGTTGAGAACCGCTGCTTTAGTCAATATACGTAAAGCTCAGGTTCTTTGTACTTGTCTCCAGATGAGCTGGGACTGCCCCTCTCCATGCCTGGGAGCTATTTGGCCTCATTATGACCCATCATATCCAGAGCTAGACAGGACTGGCTGCCATGGCCTTGCCCACCAGCTGAGACCCCTCTGTATGGCACATATTTTCAGCTTGGACTTGAGCAATTCAGAAACCATATTTCTGCTCACTCCTGAGAATTTACCCCAGGAATTCTTCCATAACTTTTACAACAACTTTAACAATAGCTGATTCCCAGCACATACATTGTATTCGATCTTCTGTATGGTTTTATTACAAGTCAGCCTGTGCCTGCTGCTTTTTCCTCTATTTAGGTTGAAATAGATTTTACCAGATACCCCGACTGAGGAGAAACCATCATGACCATCCCAGCCAGCTTTATTCTCATTGGACTTCTCAGTGTCACTTTTGTTAAGATTCAGAATTACAGCATAGACTTTAAGGAAGCCTGGGTGAACTTTCGTACGTTCTACAGCTGTTGGCTAATAGCAAAAATTGTCTTTTTTTTTTTTTTTTTTTTTGAGGTAGGGGCCCATGCAGCCCAGGCTGGCTTTGAACTTGCTGTGTAACCGAGATGACCCTGAACTTCTGATCCTCCTGCCTCTATTTCCCAAGTGTTGGGCTTACAGGCGTGCACCCCCACACCTAGTCTAATAAACACAGTTTTCTCAAGTCTTCCGAAAGTTTGCAGCGTATATAAAACAGCTTTGCTGTGCTATGTGGTGGTGGCAGCATCTTCACTTGCAAATATCAGTTTCCCAGAAACAACCATTTTTACGACTGTTCCTGAAGCTTTTGTTTTCCTGTCTTGACTCTGTTTGGGCTATTAATGCCTGAAGCATACTGAGCTGACCTAAGTGCTAGCTCAAATGGTCACAATATCGTGTTTTGAGGAAGAAGTATCAGGAAAGTAATGGTCCAGGAAAAAACTTGGTTTTCCATCATAGTTGATCGCTGAACTGCAAATACAGGCCAGAGACGCAGCCTCTGACCACGGCTCTTCTCAGGGGGCATGAAGGAAGCACAGGAAGGAGGAGCCCCTGAAATCCACCTGCCACACACAGCCGCATTCTGTATAGTGTAAACGATTGAAGGTGACGTGTGACGTGTTCTCACAGCATGTGAGTGATAAAAGCGGCAGGCGTGGAAAGGGCAGAGCTAAGTGCAGAGACAGCAGTGTGTGCACAGAAATCCTTCCGTCTCCCCAGGAGGTGGAGCGAGGCGGAGCACCCACGAGACTCAGGCCTGCTTACTGCCAAGTGTATGCAGAACCGGACGGTTTGTTTTTAAGCTTTATGTGACAGACTTGTGGCCCTAAGTTTGGAGAATCCTCTAACTAGGACCTGGTTGTGGTTCTGCTAGTGGTGTGTAACAAATTCTGGATGAGTGGACTAAATGATAAATAGTGTCACTGAAGGGCCAAGGGAAGCCTTCAGAATACTTCACAGGTGTGTCAAAGTCCCCATTTCAGGGCCAGTGAGGTAGCTCAGTGGGTACAGGCGCTAACCACAGAGCCGGACAACCTCTAGAACCCACAGGGTGAATGGAGAGAATCGACTCCCTGTATGTTGTCCTTTGACTGCTGCATGCATACCACAGCACATGTGCCCATATGCACCCCCACCTCGCCCCCCCACACACAAGAGACAGACAGACAGACAGGTGGACAGACAGACAGACGGACAGACAGAGAATCCCTCCCATTTAGTACTGGCACGTTGGCCACACTTTTAATTCTAGAACTCAGGAGGCTGAGATAGGAGGGTTGAAAGTCACATAATGGCCTGGGCAATATAGCCTGTCCCTGTCCCAGAAACAGTGACAGCAGCAACAATGAAGTTTTACTACTTTGAGTTCAAGTCAGAGGGTCGCAAATGAAGATTACGAGGGCATATTGTTCTAAACCTGTCTGGTTTTAGAGCTTCAGTTTACCTACAGTGATTTTTCTGCAGTGGTCAAGTTCCCCAGGGCCACACAGAGGTGGGCTGCTGCCAACACAGACGAGCTCACGGTTTTCTCTTCTTCACGAATATCTCAGAGGGGGAGAAAGCTTTGGGTATTTTTG